GGAGAAATAGTTGGCATAAGTCGCGAACGGGCGCAACTCACAACGCAACCGTATAGGTTTTAGTAGCGTTTAAGTAGGCGGGCAACAGGCAGCGCAGGTGAGTCGGCAGACACAGCGCGCCACACAGACACTAACACACTCGAAATTCTTTCGAAAGTCAATAAATTTCTCATTGCGACCATGCGCTGCGTATTCAACTTCTATACGCACAGGGCGACGCGGCAAACAGGTACGGAGACTACGCCCACAGGAACACCGATCGAAACACATCTGCAACTGGTACGCCCACCTCAAATAATTGTGAACCGCGCAGGTGATTGCAGGGTCCAAATTTGCAGGTACTCTGGCCGCGAGTTTTTGGTAGCGTAGGCATGTTGCGAAATGGTGTTGGGGGCGACCTGTTCCTGGGCGATATGTTGCGCGATCCGGCGGCCCTGCCCTGTTGGCGACCTGCCTTGGCCGTGTGTAGCCGTACCCCCAACCTAAACTGTGGGGCGCGCACTTGCCGCAAGTATACGCCCACAACCTATGGCCCTCGGCGTATCCAACCTATTAGTTGCAAAAATGTGACCGTTGGTGCTTACGTTGCGTACTACGATGGGCCGTGGTTCATGCAAATGGTATAAAATAGTGGGGGCCCTTGTTCTAGGACTCGTTTCCAGTTTGTTAGGGACCTCCGAGGTGACAACAGTGGACGCACTCCTTGCTGTATTGACATCCAGTTTCAACTCTCGGCTCAATGATTAGGCAAGCCTCGCAACACAAATACAAATAACAAACGGCAGACAGGCGGGAGCAAAAGATAAGAAAAGAGTGTGGGTAGACCGCATGGGATTAGCAGGCGCCTTCACCTTCGTCATAGACGACCGAGCCTTTTGGTGGACTTCCGGAAGCGAAGACCAAGGTGGGCATATCAAAACCTTCAATGAGGATGCGCGCCCCGAGACTGTACGATCAGCTGGCACGGAGACGTTGGTCCTCGGCATCAACGATGCAAAAAGACGCGAAGTACAGGTTGCGGCCCGCTCGGACGCGGCGCCTCGGCCTGAAGCTGCAGTCCACTTTGCGCAGCAAGGTCCTGGCCTCGGGTACCCAAGTACTCGCGACCATGGCAGTAGGATGGAAGGTACCATACAAACCATCTCAGTCGTGGTCCCGTCCGACCGGCAACGACGATGCAGATACCCTTGAGAGGTGAATGAACTCTCCCCACCACTCCTGAGGGAATGGCGTGGCGCATATCAGCACAAACTCATGAAAGAGGCTGGCAACCTTCCCATACATCGTGGGGCCCTAGACTGGGAAGCACCGTGCAACTGCAGCGTGTCGCGCGCCCACTCAGCTGCGCATCCCATGTATTGCAACTACAAGGGCTTCTAACTAATGTAGAGTGCTCCTGGCCGGCTCCGTAGATGCTGATTACAAATTTACTGGGCAGACTCTGGTGGTTTCGGGTTCTTCATCCGACGCCCAAATCCTAGGCAATAGACGCTAGCTGGAAGGAATGTGTGGAAAAGGGATAACATCGATTTCCACGACCAGATAACCTAAGCCCACGACGCAATGACAGAAGTCCATGACGTAACCGCCTACTACTCTCATCGCCACACGATGCCATTGCGCCCTCAGAGAAACCCATGATGAAGCCTCTAGCGGCACTGCCGCGTGGCCTGAATGATAACCACAGGACTTCAATTACCGCTTTCCCCGTGCCAGGAGGCTGTTGTGGAAAATGTCTTTGCCATCCAGCCAACCGCGCATCGCAGGTTATGTTGGACCCATGCACATCCTTCCCAGAAAAAAAAAACAAAAAAAAAATTTCCAAGGGCTGCCGTAAAACCAAAGACCTGGCATTTGCCTGCACAATCTGCATGATGGAAACGCGTACCCCTGGTCCTAGCAGAATAGCAGACAGGCTCGACCGTGTGGAGAAGCAACGGTGTCATCATTGCTGGACGCCTGGAGAGATCGTGATATTTATGGAGATTTTTATAACAGGTTTTTACCCACGTGAGCCGATATTCGCGAACCTAGCAGCGCAGGTCCCAACCTACTGTGTAATTTTGAACAGCAACTTCCAATACGCAACTCGTAAGTGTGCACGCAAACTGCACACCGCCAACCGGGCACGCCAACTCGTACGCGCAGGTGATCGCAGATATTGGGGCGGACATCCAAGTTCAGTTCGGCACCCCACACCGCAACCCAGCACGCACAACCCACACGCAACTCACACGCAACCGCATGCATAGGTTGAATACGGTTAGAAACAAACAAAATTGTTGATTTGGGTTGGCGTTTGTGCGTATCAAAATGTTTTTTACACACGCAAACTCATAGTTCAGGCATAAACGCTAGTGGGTGAGGGCACCTTTATGTATGAAAGTGGTTATGCAGTTCAGGAATAAACATACAGAGAGCATTTCTGCTTACTAATCAGCACATTACATACGCCCACGTCATCATATATACATAACGGTGAAACAACTAAGTATAGAATGGCGGAACAATACCCATAGGGTTTTATAATGATCACTAGTCGTATGGCTGCTGGACTGGAGTACACACACTGAGTAGCTATTGATAGGAAACGTCCAGCGGGAGCTGCAGCGTCTCATCCGCGCGGCAGCGCTCAGGATCAGACAGCGAAAGGGTCTGTCCTGACGCAAGTCTGTATCATGTCTCTCTGGATGTCATCTGATCAGACAGTCCACACCAACTCACACAGGCTTACCTAGATAAATCAGCTATCTCTTGTTTATCAACCGGTCATCTGTGTTATTTATCAGGCTTTGCAGCAAAATATGGCCGTACGTAGCGTGACCTGACACCTGCGCGCGTTAGTGAAGGTAATAAAAAACATATTCTAGGTTGGC